AGTCCACTGCACCTTGCTTTGGGTAATGGACACACCAACACTGTGAGACGACTCGTCAAGCATGATCCGGAGCTCATTCGCGTCCAAGGGAGGGAAGGGATCACTCTTTTGCATTACGCAGTGGAAAAAGAGGAAATTGATCTTTTGATTTATTTTCTTCTCATATGTCCGCTCTCATTATTTGACTTGACTGTTCGAGATGAGACTGTTGTGCATATTGCTGTAAGAAATAACAATGTTAGAGCTTTTATGGTGTTGTTTGGTTGGGCTAGGAGGACCGATAAGATGTCAGTGATGCGATGGAGAAACGAGGAAGGAAATACCGTGATGCATCTTGCAGCATTAACAAGCCAAACGGAGGTATGTTCCTTCGACTGAACCTCCATTTATTTAATTGAGAATGAATTCCCTAAAATCTCCTTCAATTAACTTTCATCAGTAGATAATTCCTTCATTAAACTTAAGAATAATGCTACATGTACATTATGGTACACATAATGGTGTCTATAATGTACGTGTGGCATCCCCCTATTGGGGGAAGTGCAAGTGGGTCAAGTTCTCCTCCCAATAGAGAGGCGCCGCCACATGTACATTATGGACACCATTATGTGTACCATAAAGTACATGTAGCATAACCCTAAACTTGAAACTGAACCCAACCCTCTGCTAGGAAGCGACGACAGGGCTCATGTGAGGTTTGTCCAAACCATTGACATTATTGAACCTAGAAATCCCAAGAAAGTACCAAAGCAAAGAACGCAAAGTTTTTATCTAGTTTCGTTCTTAGGCCCGTTTGATGTAAGATTTTTTGAGAATATATTTTATGGAAAATCATATTTTTGAAGAAATTGTGATTAAAAAGTAGGAAAAATTATGGATTCATTAGTAAAGTTATTTTATTGTGAGAATGTTTGATAGAAAATTAATTTGGAGAAGTTTTAGAAAATGTATACCATACAAAAAATTTAAAGTCCCACAACCGAGTTGAGATCTACTTTGATGGATTCTCATATACTAGATCTTCACTCGATTTCAAGGTTTAGAGTACAAATGGATGATTACAACAAGAGAAAATTTTTAACTTGAAATTATACAAATTTAAATGTGAGTTAAATATTGTTAAAAAAAATGGGGCCACCCTATGTGTGTATTATGTATGATTTCTGATTTTATTTTTTTTGTACATATAGTGCTTCTCTTACAACAATTACCCCTTTATCGGGGCAAAGATGTGCCCCCGGCAATACTAGGGCCTATGTAGCATGGTTCTTTGAGCTTAGTGTGAGATCACTTTTAGATCCCCAAATTTTCATGAGAAGTGCTACATGTACATAAATTTATACATAATGGTGTCCATAATTACAGGTGGCACTGGATCCAACCATTAATTCAAATCTTATTTTTTCACATCAATAATAGGATTTTGTCCACATCACATTATGGACACTATTATGTACATGTAGACTTTTCCAATTTTCATTGTCAAACAATAAAAATTATTTAGGTATTTGGTAAACTTGATATATTTCTAATTTTGAAAGAATACTGACTGCAGATTTAAGAAGCTTATTCAATTACCCATCATTAAACTATTAATTTTGACTCTTATGAATAAAATTGGTACTTGTTGATAGTACAAATTGAATTAAACGAGTTTATTGATAAAACAATTGCAATCGAATATCAGTGTAAATACAATTAACAAATCTTCTCATCTAACTAAGACTTTCTCCTCCTAAATTTACTAGTTTTGATGCTTCAACTAGAACAAAAAAAAAAAA